CAAAACCCGACATAGGCATAACTACAAAAGGAAATGGAAGCCGGCGGTCGGCGACCTCTATATCACAGCCCCGACACCCTTATTTCAGAATCAACTCACCCCAAATAGGTGATACAACACAAATAGGAGATGCTAACTGTGCCAACTCCAACTCCAAAACAGATGCAAATGCAGCAAATATAAAAGAATGAGATGCAGCCGTATCAATCAACACATTGGCAACCGAGTTGCAAAACAAGAAGGTACCTCTCACAACCGATGGAGTCGGTACAAGATCCTGCGCGGTAATAGCATACACGCGCCCTGTAGGCCCCTGATCTACCTGCTCACCTCTCGGAGCAAAGGACTGCTGCACAGACTGGGACGACGAAGCTCCTTGATTGGCCCTCGAGGCCTGAACTAACTGAGCTGGCTGGAAACTCTGCCTTTGTCCAAATGCACCAGAAATGCCGCTCAACTGCAGGCAAAACCTCTTCAGGTGCCCCGCCTGACCACACTAGTAACAAGAGAGCGGCTGGCCTCTGCCCTGACTCTGGCTCTGGGGTCGAGCCGAAGATGAAACTGCTCTATGCCCTCCGCCCTTCTGCGGGCAAGCTGGAGACTTGTGGCCTAGCTGACCATACTTGTAACAGGTGATGTCTCCCTGACTACCTCTCCCAGAGCCTGCACTCGGCACTGGAAAGGTCGATCTAGCAAAACCACCCTGAGACTGCTGAGGGTTAGAACCCCTCTGTCTCATGCCATCACCCTGGCCATCCTGACTCCTCTTGGAGCCCCTCTGTCCCTCCTCCTCTTCCTGCATCATGATCTCCATATGGGCCGCAGCATCCACAAGGCGCCCATAATCTCGGGTCATAGAACCCCCAATTCTCATCTTGAGGCCATGCCTCAACTTCTTCTCAAACTCCAGACAACAGCGTTCCTCAGACGCCACAAGCTCAGATGCGAACCTAGATAAGCTAGTAAATACGGCCTCAAACTCGGCCATTGATAAACTCAATTGCTTGAGCTGACAAAACTGGTCCCTCAGCTTCTCCCTGACAGTTGGAGACAGGAACTTCTCCTGGAAAGCATCTACAAAAGCCTCCCATGTCCCACCAACACGACCTCTCATGAACTTCCATCATTGACCCGCATCCCCCTTAAGCTGGAAAGATGCTAAGGTCACCTTCAACGCCCCGTCTTCGATGCCAATCATCTCAAACGTCTTAGTCATCTACTCCAACCACTCATCAGCCTTAAGTGGCTCCTTAGGATCCCCAACAAAATCATCCAGATTGGACCAAAAGAACTCCCTCTTCATAAAGGAAGGCCCTACATCAACAACCTAGGCCTGAACTGGATTCTCAGCTCTGAGAATGCCTATGGATTCCCTCATAGCTCCTGCTATCTCGCGGGCTAAGGCACCCATAGCCTGCTGACCCACTGGCTCGGCTACATTGGCCTGACCAACACCCTCTTGCTACGCCGGAATATCATCCAGTAAAGGCATCTCCTACCTACCACGCCTACCACGTCTACCTCCACGTCTTCGTCCTCGTCCTGACATCCTAATAAAGGTAACGAAGAACATTAGCACATTCATAAATGTGCCGAAGCTAAAACACTCGCGTCCTAATGCATGGACAACTGTAATTCACTCCACGTAATCACATAATCACATAAGCACTTACAAATTTGATTTCCGGATAATGATAGTCCCGAGGCGTTACAAGAGTTCCGGTTAGAAACAGCATTGATCAAGTGCTTTTCCAATAAGACTCATAGGAACCCAAGGATCTAATCAACATCTTAGAAAGTAAATCTCATACCCATATAGTCACATAAACATGTTATCACATAAGTACATAACATTACACATAAGTCTCTAACAAGCGAGGCAAACCCATTGTGATACTAATCACTTCTCACGTACCCAAGTATTCAAACCCGGTACACTCTGATACCAAGTTGTAACGCCCTCAAAATAAACCCATAAATCATGCATTCACGACATCCATAAATGTAAGAAAAATAAACATATTTCTATTCATCAGAGTGTTTAATCCAAAAGTATTACATGTTAACAACCAAAGTAAATGCCTCACGAGCTTACAACTTTTCAAGCAAACACTTGGTTACAAAAGAAAGAGTACTAACTCTACACAAAATAAGCCCCTAGCTTGATATACATGTAATACACAAAAATAAATAAAAGAGTCTTCAACTCTTACAACCATCCAAGCTATGACCTCAGAGGCGGCATGCTACCTGAACCTGAAAATGATGTCCCATATAGGGTGAGCCAACGCCCAGTAGAGATATGCTAAACATGATATGAGCAATAACTAAAACATTAGCATTTGATAAATGTTTAACTCACATAAATCAATTCATAACCCATTTCAATTACATGGCGAATATGTCTATGTTTCATTTCACTTTCCATTTCTTATCCAATTTCTCAATTCATGACTATGGCTCAGAACCTGGCCAAACAATTTAAATGAGATTACATTTCATATCAACAGTACTTCCATTTCAATTGAGATAACAACTCAAATTAAACACTTCCTACTTCACAATAGATACACATAATTGCTGTAGCAATCTCAAACAAAACACTTCCGTACTTCATATATGATACACAGATTTGTTGTATCAATACTTCAATAAATACATGTATTTGCTGTATCGATGGAGTCCATCCCCTATCTCCTCCCAAACAATATCCAGTTTAGGAGTCCATCCCCTATCTTCCCCTAAACCGTGGAGTACATATCCTATCTCTTCCCACACAATACAATGTATATAAACACATATCATATACATAGTCAATCAATACATAAATTTGATGTATTATTCCAATCGTCATATTCGATGACATATTCAATTGATTAGTTTTAGTTTGCCTAATCATCATGCATTGTCTACAACAATCAAGACTATCCTCCACCGATAGCCCAAAGCATTATTTCTAAACAGATAATAAATGCCTCAACAGATAAATTACCAACAATTTCAAAGGTGAGTGATTAATAAATCCAACTCCACCATTCCATCTCATATTATACCAATTTCATTATTTACAACTCAATTTCATGATTCCATGATAAATGTCATTAATTACACTAATGACCCAAATATGCCCAAACATGGAATTTTCTCCCTTTTTTCCAATATTGACCCAAAGGTTCAAATATCATCAACAACATCAATAATCTCTTTTTAAGATCCAAAACATACATATATGAGTCAAAAAGACAAAACTCCTCTTTTCAATATAACACATCTCAAACCCTAACTTCCCAAATCAAACCATCTATACAAATAGCTCAACATCTATGTTAAAGCACATAAGAATGAGTAGTTATCCCTACCTCAAATTCGGAGCTCCAAGGAAGAAGATGTAGAAATCTCGAAGTGCTCCAAATCAAAAAAATTTCAAATTGATAGAAAGCCCACACCAAGCTCTACACTTTTTGCAAAGGCTCAAGGGTAGGAGATCACTCTAACTAGATCAATACCTGGAGAGAAGTTGGGTTTTAGAGAGAGAAGCTCTCCAATGGAGGTTTTGAAAAGTAAGAGAGAGAAAAGGGATGTTGAAAGTGATCCAAAAAGTCAAAACTCGGACTAATATAAAAGTCGCCCCGCTCGAGCGTGGAACGCCCCGCTCGAGTGTCAGACCCAAACTCACGCTCGAGCATGAAAAGCGCCGCTCGGGCGTCGATTGCACACCTGCAAAAGTTTTGCGAGACATGGTCCCCGCTCGAGCGTTCAAACTCCCCAATCGAGCGGAGGGACAAAATCAAAGGGTCACGCTCGAGCGTCAAAACTCCCGCTCAGTGTACGAAGACTTGCAGAGAAAAAATACTGGGAGATGGAAATTCACGCTCGAGCGTCAAAATGCCCGCTCAAGCGGAAAAGCAACGACAAAGGCCCGCTCAGCGTGAAGGCCAAATTCTGGGCATAACTTTTGGTTTCAAAGCACAACCAACCTGTTTCAACCTGCCCAACACAACCCACAGACTCAAATACAAGAGTAAAAGGATGGAAATGAGAATGAAACAACAACACAACCGTGGAACCTAGTCCGGAATACAATAAATAAAGGAAGGACAAACCGGATGCTATAAGCATCATCATACCAAATGAAAGAACGCAATCCAAGATTTGCAAAATGGAACATACACACATCTGGGACAAACAATTGGCAAAATCTGGGACAACAATTGGCAATTCATCTTTGCACAATCTTGAAAATATTTGTGGTATGCATTGACCAAATTTAAATGATTGAACTTCTTGTTTTATGGTATGCATAACAAAATCTATCAATCAAATTGGCAATATTAACACCTGTTAATGAATTTGCAATCAGATTTTTGTTATGATACCACAATTAATTGTTGGTATGCATTGACCAAAATTTGCCAATTGATTCATCTTGCAACATGGGCAGTTTCTGAACTTCTTTGTTTTGTTTTAATATGATTGATAGATTTTGTTATGCAGTGATAAATTTTTGCTCAACACTGATAAATTTTTTTTAATTTGTCTAATTCAGTGATAAATTTCCCTTAGGTTTACCTAATTGAGTAATAAATTCTTTCTTAATCTTCATGGTGTCACATTTGTAGTAGAAATTATTTAGGCATTTAT